AGAGAGAGAGAGAGAGAGAGAGAGAGAGAGAGAGAGAGAGAGAGAGAGAGAGAGAGAGAGAGAGAGAGATTTGCGACATTGAGACTTGGTGACGTTGAGATTCAGAGTTGACATATGAGCGACGACATTGTGGGAGACTACTTCGGGATCGGTATCAACGACATTTTTGAGTTGACGACATCTCTCTTTTTCTCCTCCTTCGTCTCTCCTCCTCCCTCCTCATCCATGTATGTTGGAGCCCAGCGCTTCTTCTCTGCGTGACAGCGCCAGGTTTCCCCCCTCACACTGGATGATGATGATGATGATGATGTTCAGTCTGTGTCATGACATTGATTGGGTCTGATTATTGGTATTTCAGTCTTCCGCTGTGCTAACCTTACTACATCTGTGAGAGGTCGGTTCTGGGTTCTGGTCTGCACCACATTGGCATGCGACACTCACTCAGGCAACCTCTCTGCATGAGGGCATTCGAGAAGCTTAGGTCCGTACCAACAAGCTCAGATCCAGTGCATTGGAGGAGAGTTAATCCTACGGCCGGATCTACATCTGCCAATCAGAAAGAAAAAGTGGAAGATCATCCATGCATGTTGTGAATTTGTGAAACAGATTTCAGCAATTGGTGGGCGAGTGTCCTTCGGAATCATTTCTCTCCGTCTGTCTTTGATTGTCTCAAAAACCCTAAATATGGCACCGTAGGCAGTGGAAGGCTCTGTGATAATGATTGCCATGCATGTTTGGGATGTCTACTTTTATATCCTTGGCATAATCCAGCAGATTGCTGCCGCCGCTGCTGCTGGTGGATCAGGACCAAGTTCCTTTGAAGATAAACTACGGCCGATAGAGAGGTAGGGTGCATTCCTCTCTCGAAACCCAAGTAAAGTCTGTATGAGATCGTTTTGTAGGTAGTAGGGAGTACCGAAGACCAGAGGCAACCCAGCGGCGCCAGCCACATGAGGTTTCATGTCATCATTAGGTACAAAATGATCCAGGTAAACAGGAGTGGATGGGAGAAACACACCCAGATGATCAACTTTATATCGGCTTACTGCTTTCACCTTTCATATTCTGGGGAGGAGTCTGTACACCAACCACACTGCGACCAGTTATTATGGATGGGCTGTGGCATTTCTCTTTGCCTGTCCATGCATAAGTCAAATTTGATGGCCATGCGGCTTGCTCCTTTTTTCCTTTTTTTTTTCTTTCTTGTGCAATGCGCATACTATTCTCTCGCCATGCAGCTTGCTCTTGATTTCTGCAGCTTTGTGAATTGAATTTCCAACCGTTCAAAATTTCCCTAGCCTTCCCGAAGTCCTTCCACTTTTCCCATCCTCAATCTGAGTGGAGCATGAGAAGAAGGTTGACAGTCTTCCTGGTGTAAGTAAAGAATCCCTTAGCTCCACAATAATAAACTAAAACAAAGCTCATTATCATGCCATAATGTCTTTCTCATTTGTTACTCCAACCTATTTTCTCACGGCTTGACTCGTGTCTTGATTGTCAGTTTCTCTTTTTCTCTGTTTTTTTCCCAAAACAACACAGCACCTTCTATTCTGGGGGGCGTCAGTCCGGTTGCTTATCACCGGCAAGCATATTTTTGTACAAGCAATGAGGAAGAAAAGACGAGAGAAGAGATTCAGCCTTGCCCTTGTGGCACGAGACGCCTGAGCAAAGGGGGGCTGCTGCGGATCGCAGATCTTTCTTTTTTTTTTAACCAAGGCTCATGATTTACACATCTGATGATGTCATCCGTTCACAAGGACTGTGCTAATGAGCTAAAAGTTTCACAGAATCTTTGTCAAAAGACTTAAAAACCATCAGTACATAAGACTCCCTTTCGCCCTAGTGAAATAATCGACCCGTCATCTAACCACCAGATAGCTAATTACAATGGTGTAAGATGATTCAAGAATCTTTTATTTGTCACTCATGGTCAAACGTTGTTTCAACCAAGTGCATTCTCTTCGATCCTTCATGATATCGTAGGACCTACCTGTATTTTGTACTTGACTGACTCTTGCGAGCCTCCGGGCGCAAAGTGCAGCATTTCGTACATCTCCGCCTAATTGCTGGACATGAAGTGGTGGCCAAAACTGCTTCTAAATGTATCCTATTTAGAATCTCAAAAGAATCTAGTCTTACTATACGCTCAATATCAGTATACTTTCGCTCATTTTTTAACGGATGTCACCAAGGACAGTCTCACACACTCCTATGTGCCTCTCTCTCTCTCTCTCTCTCTCTCTCTCTCTCTCTCTCTCTCTCTCTCTCTGTGTCTGTCTGTGTGTGTGGGTGTGTGTGTGAAAGTGCAGTAGGTTCCCAGTCTCCTCGCCCGGATGCAGCTGGCTCAGAGTGCCGACTGTAGCGAAGTGGGCAGAGTTGTCATAAATGAGTGCCACTCTATGCACACATCCGACCTGATCATATTCTGTTTATCTGGGTCCATCTAGATTCGAACCCAGGTCTGCATTTCAAAACTGCATGGGTGTACCAACTGAGCTACCGTGTTCACCCGAATAGAACGCCCGGTCATTATAGGTGTATTTGGCACAACTGTCAGCCCAGATACGGCGATAATTACCGGGCATTCTGTTCGGGTGAAGATGGTAGGCTACCCTGTTGCGAAGTCAATAATGATTGTCCAACGGAGCTGGGAGAGAGGTCCTGATTCATCGCCTTGACCTGAACTCGTTCAAAGATGGAAGCTGGCCAACATACTCCACCGCTCAGCAAAGAATCACAGATCCTTGCTATTGCGATCGAGCTTTTTTCTTTTTTTCTAAGAGTGTGTTTGTGCACCTAATAAGCTGCCAACAACTGAAATCTTAAAATTTCCAGCCAGCAGAGGATGGACTTGAAATACTTGGAGAACCCATGTGCACAAAATGTGGCTTGTGAGGAGTTAAAAACTTCAAGCGTGTATCGTCCTAGTAGCAGACGATATAAAACTGATTCCGCTGACCCTGAAGAAACAGGAGGTGGCTTGAAGAGGCCATTGGGTTTTGCCTTTAGGTTTAGCTGACCCTGAGGAAACAGGAAGCAGCTTGACGAAGCCATAGGCATTTTCCGTATTGGGTTGAGCCCTTTGCTGACATCAGAAGTATTTTTGTGTCCTTGGGCATTTTCCTTTGTGCTTGGCTTGTGGAAGCATTGTAGCACAAGTGAGTTGGAGGGACCTTAACATTCTTACAGTAGTTTGAGTCCCTCAGAGTGGTGTCGATTGAGGCGCGTTAACGGAATTTCCCATTGTGGAAATCAGATATTATGATTCTATGAAAGCTTTAGGCCAAGCTATACTATACTCCGTGAGGTGGTTACATGGACATAGATGATACATTCAGGACCGTCTCCGACCTCTCTTTCCATGTCTCTTGGGATGCTAATTGCCAAACCTCAAATTGACTGCCCAGTGGCCAAAGGCACAACGGCAAGCGGTGGCCTCTCTCATTTGACACATCTAACGCTGAAGGATGATTCATATACATCATACTTGCGGCGCATCAGTGCGGTGCGCGATGCGCGCGCACTGATGCGCAGTGCACAGTGCCCAGTGTGCTGCGCGGCACTCATACTTTCGCGCATGGTGCGCCGTGGTATACATGCATTTTTTTTTCTTTTTTCTACGTGATACACCGAGTTACGGGGAACCCCGTAGAGAGAGAGAGAGAGAAGAAACCGTGTGCTGACACTATCGGACCGAAGAAACCACCCTTATCAACGGGCAACATGAATCGGGAAGCGGGGCGACATGCACAAAGGACAAATAATATGGCGGTGTATCTTTCCATGTTCTGGCGGAAGATTCATTCATTCGTTGGGTGGTGGAGAACGAAGGGTAAGCACGTAACGTATCTCTGGAAACTTTCTTTTTTTTTTTTTGGAGAATCTCTGAACAAATGAGACTGAATCCTCCGCTTGAACATGGAAAGATACATTTCCATATATGTCTTCTTGTACATGTCGAGAGTAGTGCAGCGAGCTGGTTGGTAAACATTAACGTTGAGGTTCTGACAGGTTGGACGCGCCGGGCTTCACTCGTGCAAATAAATTCTTCCTTTACGTTTTTTTCTTTTTATTAAAAAAAAAAATCCAGGAAAAATGGCTGCCAGTTCCGTCGTTTTCTACTTCAGAAGTAATGCGAAGAGAACGTTTTGAGAGATCGCGACCCTCATCATGACTGAATCTGGCCTGCAAGAACCCTACCATACAGACTGCAATTACCGTTGAGGTTCTGACAGGTTGGRCGTGCCGGGCGACACTCGTGCAAAGAAATTCTTGATTTTTTTCCATTCCAGGAAAAACGGCTGTCAGTTCCGTCGTTTTCTACTTCAGAAGTAATAAGAAGAGAACGTTTTGAGAAATCGCAACCCTCATCATGACTGAATCTGGCCTACAAGAACCCTACCATACAGACTGCAATAACCCTACCATACACACAGAGTGTTACCCGAACTACAGATTACTAAAAGCTTGCGGGCCAACGCGCGGCCTCCAAAAAAAATCTGGCTGCCCGTTTCTTATTTTACGCGAGCAGCGGGCCGGGTCTACTACCTTTTTTTTTTTTTTTTTGACCCCCATTTTTGGAGGTGCGCCGCATGCAGTGCACGCGCGTCGTGCGGGATGCGCCGTGCGGCGCACGTGCGCAGTGCAGCGCATCGCGATGCGCCGCATGTATGATGTATATGAGAATTGACTCAACTCATTTTCGGTGAACTTCTAAATAAGAAATAACACGCGCGTCAATTGAGGGCCTGAAGGCTAAGCGATGCTGTTCTCAGTTGGCTGCAGGTTAGTAGGGTAAGTTTGCAAATACCTCTTTTGTAAAGGTACTTTTTCGGCGGAATTTTTTCCCAACTGCGTACCCCATCAAAAGACTTTCTCGCTTCTCAATGTCCCTCTGCGCCTTTTCCCAACTAATTAGTATTTACCCCATCATTTCTTCGCTTCTCCCGTGAACTCCTGCCTTGGATTCTCCAACCTTCACCCTCACCTTCTCCCAACATCCTCCCTCCTCCCCAAGCCTCTTGTTTTTTCTTCGCAGAACCTCCCTTCCCCTGCTTGTGCTACCGTTTTATGTTTGGAACCTGCTTGGAAGGAGTGCATCCTGAGTATCGCTCAATCATGCTATCGTATGTATTTCCGAAAAAAACAACGACCTTTGACCATCGACTACCTTTGTGACTTTTTCTATCCCCAATAAAAGGAGCCAAAAATTTTCAATGAGTCTGGCATAGGTGGCCCAGCATGGATTAGAAGTGGTGAGACCTGCATCGAGTTCAGCTGACCAACGGCAGGAAACCACAAAGAAAATCCGTCCAGTGATTTTCGACTCATTTCGAGTCCTTACAGATCAGTACTTATCATAACGACAATTCTTGCAACTCACTCGGTTATCGTCTCCACTAGGTATGCAATGCGATTCTTGGAGGTATGGAACCCCGTCGTCGACAAGGATGCGGCGGAGGCAGAAGTTGTCTATGAAGAGAAGGAGTGGGAGCTTGACCAGGTGCCAACAGACACAACCACAACTGCTTTCTCTCTCTCTGTTTGTTGTTTTAATGTTGAGCGCCTTGAGCCCTTACGGGATCTTTGTTTTTTGCTCTTCTTTTTTTGTAATTTTGTTTGTGTCACCATGAAGTCGCGCCAGCTGATTCTCATTCCCAACTAGGCAACTACAGTGTTAGATGATGAGTTGTAATGCAACCCATCTCATCTCAACCCCAGCTAGGTATCTACAGTGTCAGACGATTCGGCAGGAGCGATCGTCTTGCAAATGGTGGAATGGAAACTTAGAGAGGTAACAAACGAGGTGAAGACGGTGTTGTGGGATTGGTCCTCTCTCCTCCCAATCTGTGCAATTGGATGCATCTGTTCAACCTTGTCCTGCACCCGGGCATAGCAAGGTATCACTAACCAATGTGGATGTCTCCTACTGGGCACCATGCGTTCAAGGCGTAGAGAGAGGACATTTTTTTTCTTGTTTTATCCATATTCGCTTCTTTCTACCTTACCCGTCAACGAAGTGTTATGTTGAAACTTGAAAGTCAATTCTTCGCTGCAGTCATAAAGAACATCAGCTACAAGTTACTAGCCGTTAGGCATCCTTGGCTACTAACGTTATTGTATTTGTCTGAGCGCGTCTGGACTCGCACTCATGGTCTGTTTGTCTGACCTCGTCTGTCCTCGCGGTCATGGTCTGGTTGCAAATAGCTATGTCTGTATACCGTTCGGCGTCATGGACTGGGTAGGAGGTTTCCTCTTTTTTTTTTCCCTACAGCCTGAAATGTTTCTTCCTTCCGCGGCTCTGCACTTCTGCTTCAGTCTATCTATCTATCTTTTATCTAAAGTTCAAAGTTCAAGCAGACACTGTTAGGTCGTTACCAGACAAGATTGCTATTGGAGTCATCATTGCCCAGCTTCAGTTGGGTTGGATGCTATTCATGGTAACCGCACCCCACCCTCTTTTTTTTTTTTTTTTTTTTTTTTTTTGGGTCCGGACATTTKTGCACACCGGGGACCGGTCCGGACTGTCCGGTGTCCGGTGATGTCAGGATCACCGGACAGTCCGGACCGGTCCAGATACTGGTCCGGAAGACAGTCCGGAAGTGTCCGGTGTCCGGGTCTGGGGTTACCATGATGCTATTCCTTCCTTTTTCTTTTCTCCTTCTTGTCAGATGTGATTCCTTTCTCTGTTGTTTTCTTTTTTCCCCACTCTCAATCATATTCCTCCTTTACTCGTTTTTCTCTTCGATGATCCTTGGTCGGTACTATAGCCGCAGATCCGTCGACCGCAGATCCCTCCGTGACTGCACACGGTTCCCAACTGGTATCCTTGGTCTCGAGAGCCCAGCAACCCTTGCCCTTCATCGCCATTCCCTCCCTCCCTTCTTTGTGCTTCGTCACTCCTTGTCTCGCTTGATCTGTTTCTCCTCTCGCCGCTCTCGGCCGTTTATTTTTTAGCAGTACTGAATACTAAATACTGAAGTAAATAGTGAATACATAACAAGGGCATCCACTGAGTGTACAGAATCTACTACAGATCTAAAGACCTGAGCTGCTTGACGTGATTGTTTTAGTGACAGCTTGGCTACAGCGTGAATGGTCATGACTGATACTTGCTGAGGGTGTGTGTAAGTGGCATCCCATGCCAGGTGGTTGTCTGATTTGTCAGCTTAGGTGGAATTTACCTGTGTCAGAGCCGGGGTGAAACCCGGAGTTCTTGCACAGCATTGGCGTTGTCGAGGAGTGGGCTGAACGTACTTGTTCATTTGGTGGTGGTTGTGGTTGTGACTCTTCTTCTCGCAGCTTGAAAAGCTCAAAGTGGAACAGGAAGCTGAACTCGACGATGAGGATGAGCCTCTCTTCTGTGAGAGTAGGTTCTTTTCGCTTTCCGTAACCCCATCTAGCTTCAATGCACAATGATTGAGCTTTAACCAAGTCGTTTTTCCTTTGTTGAAGGTGGCCCCATACCTATCTGATTCCACCATGACTCAAAAGTCGTGACCTCTGTGTCCTCCATAGGGACATCCGTTTAAATTGGAACGATACAGCGACTGAAGATTAGCATGGCAGGCAAGGATGACACACACAAATCGAGAAACGGTCCAATTTAAAAAATAAAAAAAGGAGTCGTGATCTCTGTTTATTAGCAGTTACATGTGTGTGTACTATTCAGCCACCACCTGGGCGGGTCTTTGGCAAAAGCCTGCTATCTCCCAAAAGGTTGCAAGTTCCTTGCAAAAAGTTGTGTGAACGGTGTCGAGGATGCACAGGGAACAGTTGACCATGTCATGAAGTGCTGCTTTTTTTTTCATAGCAAACGAAGGGTTCAAAACTTCAAACTCCAATCAGGCCCTGTGACGGATAGATGTTGCTGTTGCTGTTTTACGAGGAGATTTCCAATTTGATTACACCCATGGAACTGGCACTAAACCAACATGAGTACGGACTCTACAGAGTCTACAGACCCTGATGAAATCAGATGGATAATAAATAATTTAATGAAACAAGTGGACCCCCCGCAGCCACACTGCGGTCAAGGACGACGCCAAAAACATTTTGCAAAGCACCCCAGACATCGGTTGGACCCCATCTTTGCAATGCACCTCACCAGACACCCTCCAACTTTGCAAAATGCCCCGGTAGTCGCCAACTTTTTGTGGGTGCAAATGCAAAAAAAGCGCCCAATTTCCAGGGACATTTTGACATATATCCCAACATATGGGGGTATTTGGCCAATTACCACCCCCCCAAAAAAGGCCAACGGCATCTTCTCGACGTTTGGACGAAGATATGCCAGCTCTCTCTCTCTCTCTCTCTCTCTCTCTCTC